CTGCACTACTCAGCAGCTGAACTCTGCTCCACGTATACATCTGAAGCTTATTGACTGACTGGACTGTACCTTTAAAATTATTTAGAAAGCCAATCAAATGCAAGTTTAGAGTTCTTGGAAAAGTTTGGATGAAATTGATTAACATGCATCTTTTTTTCATCCTATGTAACTATGATTAACCGTTTCAAGTGACTGTCGTTTTAAAAGGATGAGTGCACTTTTTGCTCTCCTTCCCCTAACCTAACCCAGCGCACCCTCCCTCTTCACACATGCATATTTACCTCCATCCGATGGCTGAGACCTCCACCGTTCATTTGCATGCAGTGCTACAAGTATGCATTGTCCTGTGCATTAGTACCCCATAGACTTCTATGGGCCTGTCTCCCCTGTCTGCCTTTAGACTCAGGACATTGCCCCATACAAGTCTATGTAATGCACAGATGTGGCCAGGAGAGGGAGACATGGTGGCATGTAGGACATGCAATCATATTATACAATCCCATGCCTGGATAGATGGGTTGCGGCAGCAAAGCCATGCACTAAAAATAAGAAAAAAAAAAGGATTCTGCACCCTGTTTAATATCAAATTTCATGTTACACCCTAAACATAGAAGCATGGTGTAAAAGGTGGCCTCTAAAGTATGCGTCACTCACTGGAGTAATTTATTATATATTTACTACAGGTATTTATATAGCGATGCCATTTTAAGCACAGCTTTCCATGTTGCACATTCATATCAGTCCCTGTCCTCAAGCAGCTTATAATCTAAAGGTCCCCATTGCATACACGGCCAATTGAGACAGGAGCCTATTACCATTCCAGCATGTTTTTGGATTGTGGGAGTAAACTGAAGTACCCGGAGGAAACCCACGCAAGCACATGGAGAACATGCAAACTCCTTGCAGATAGTGTCCTGACCGGGATAAAAAAAGGTACAAAGAACAGGCACCCTGCAGCCTACCAGCATTGAAGGAGAACTATGAGGTGAGTGCTTTTTACTCACCTCATAGTTCTAGCCGACCTGTGACAATGAGACTGTCACAGGTCGGCTCAGTAGATCGGGAGGTGAGCGAACACATACCGGCGTTCGCTCACCTCTCGATCCTGTCACGGCTCTCTGCCGTGACAGGGGAGGGGCTGGATTCCCCTCTCCCCGCTCCGATCCTCCAGCGCTGACTGGCGGAACGGACGGGGGAGGGGGCGGGTACAGCTGGGCCCTGCCTCTACAGCCTAGATAGGTATCAGGAAGCGGGCGGATCGCTTGTATGAGGTCATGTGACGTGTGTGTGTGTGTGTGTGTGTGTGTGTGTGTGGGTGTGTGTGTGTGTGTGTGTGTGTGTGTGTG